CCCTCCTGTCTTCCACTGCCTCCCAGAGTTGGGTCAAATTCATGTTGGTCGCTTCGATGACACTCTCCAACCATCTCATCCTCTGTTGTCCCCTTCTTCTCTTGCCTTCACACTTTCCCAGCATCAGGGTCTTTTCCAGGGAGTCTTCTCTTCTCATGAGATGGCCAAAGTATTGGAGCCTCAGCTTCAGGATCTGTCCTTCCAGTGAGCACTCAGGCTTGATTTCCTTCAGAATGGATAGGTTTGTTCTTGCAGTCCAGGGGACTCTCAAGAGTCTCCTCCAGCACCACAATGACTTTACTCTTCCATAACGTGGTCACTAAGCAGCCAAGATGGCTAAAGAAAACCAAACCTGCAACCACCAAATTCTCTTTTAACCTGTTGGCATAGATCTCAGGAGTGACATAGTCAACTAAGTGACATAGATCTCAAACATTTGAGATGTCTGTTTGACCTCCTATAATACTTCAAGTGATTTCCATCTTTTATACATGATGGTTGGTGTATGAAGCTATTTGAGGGCTAAATTCAATTTTGGGCCCAACAACAGGGTCCAAATCCCCACTTGCCCATGGAAACTCACTGGCCGAGTAGAACTGGTAAAACCACATCTCTTGAGAGTCCATTAGCATAAGTCAGCTCCGACTTGACAGCCCAGAACACAGAGACTGTAGACCAGCTGAAAGGAGTTTGGGAGTTAAAATGGGTTTTGCCCTGATTTATGACATGCAAAGGGGATTTCCTATGGGCTGCAGCTGACTGAACACATGTACTACAAACAGAAAGTTCCATTTAATTTCCAAAATGGGCTTGGAGACTCCTGTGATAAAGTGGAGATCCATGTGGGTCAGAGAAGAGCCCACTGAACTTTACAGTGCTTCACTGAACTTTAGCCTGGCTTAGAATAAGGCATGTTATTGTACTCACAGTGCTGAATATTTTGTGACATTTCATGAATTAAATAGCTTGTGACATTTCATGAATTAAAACAATCAAAATCACCCGCAGTTTTAGTACTTAGCTACATGCTGTGCAGTCAAAACCAACCGACAGCGGCTCTAATGGGGCTTTCAAAATACGTGAGACATTTCAGGAGTGGTTTTACCAGTTCCACACCCCCCAGTGAACTTCCATGGCTCCACCCCAGGCCTCCTGAATCCCAGTCCATCGCTCTGTCCACTATATCACACTAGGTACTGCATGTGCAGATTAAAAAACCCTACCTCCTCTCTTTCCCATCTCAACACATTGCCCACCCATTTCTGTTTGTTGTGTCCTCTTTTTTTACCTTCCAAAGAAACAGGTACAGCTGTGGACACTCCCTGATCCAAACAAGGAGGGCTTCATTTTGCCACGGCAGAATAGCAACCCTCTCCTATCACAGGTCACTGGTGGGCGAAATGCCTTTCTTGCTTATTCTTTTTCAGCTTTGTGCATGCATGAACACGCCTCCCAAAAGTGCATTTCAGCGCTGTTGTTCATGCATATGGATGTGTAAATTGTCTGTATGGGGTAGGGGCGGAATTTGACACAACTAGATTCATCTATCAGTGTAGGATTCCTGAATCGAACAGTGTCATCTGCACAGTCCTGGTACTAGATCGAAGACAAGCGCTTCAAAACGCAGAGTAAATTCCTTTAATCTCTCTTTTTTTCTTATTTTAAAAAATGACAACAAATGATAAACGTTAAAACATGTAACAAACTAAAATGAGAACAAACCCTACATATACTTTGTGCCCATTATGAAGCAACCACTTAAACTGTTTTATCCTCCCGGGGGCCCTTTTCCTCTTCCAGAATTAAATAAATATTATCATATGTAAAACTGTGTTTCTTCCCCTATATCAATACAAAATCAATAAATTCTCCCCGTATATCTACAAACTCATGTTTACCAATTATCCCCTTTTTTATTTTTTTATATAATATGTAAGTTTATCATTAGTAGGTACATTCCAAACTTCTCTATCCCAGTCACTTAACAATATCTTGCTGCTGTTAACAGATCAGAAGCGACTTCTGTCCTTGGTCACTTACCTATTTCGCTTCCAAATATTAAAAAAGCACTATTTTAGGACATACAGCTAAATTTCAGTTGCTTGTTTTATTTCTTTTTTTAAAAGCCAATTGCCAAAATTTATACAGTGGTGCCTTGCTAGACAGTTACCCCGCATGCCAGTTTTTTCGCTAGACATTGGCTTCTTGGGATCGCTATAGCGATTCGCAAAACAGTGATTCCTATGGGGGAATTTTGCTGGACAATGTTTGGTCCCTGCTTCGCAAACTGATTTTCGCTAGATGACGATTTTGACAGCTCCCTCTGCGCTTGCAAACAGGGATTTTTGGGACCTAAGCTTCGCAAGACAGCGATTTAAACAGCTGATCGGCGGTTCGCAAAGCGGCTTTCCTATGGCCGATCTTTGCTAGACAACGACGATTCTTCCCCATTAGAACGCATTAAACAGGTTTCAATGAATTCCAATGGGGAAATGCTTTTCGCTAGACAATGATTTTGCTAAACAGCGATTTCAGTGGAATTGATTGTCATCGTCTAGCGAGGCACCACTGTATATACTTGCCTTTCCACCACATGTGAAAACAAGTGCCTGTTTTCTAGCACCCTTTCCAGAACATCTTGGGACAATTATCATCTATTTGATTATGTTCTGTTGGAATCAAGTACCACTTCCACAGTAGCCTAAACTTTTTTCTTATATCCTTATAGATATGGATCTCAATAGTCTAACATTCCAAAAACAATTTACCAAGCACCACAACTTATTTCTTCTCCCAAATCTCCTTCCCATAATGTTTTGAGTAAATCATCCTGTTCTACTTACAATAATAAATTATAATTTTTAGTTACTATCCCCTTCCTTAGCTTCTTCTCTTCTACGCTTTCCTTCTGTAAAATAATTCCTTCATATCTCTTAACTTCTCTACATTTATTGTTTCTTTTTATCCCCTTCTGTTCTTATTGAATAATGTTATACCAAGATATTTAATTTTCAACTAAAACTTCTAATTTTTCTTCATTCTCCATTTTTTCTAGCCTGTTCTTTGACCTAAAGACTTGTCTCTTTGTGGTTCAAAATAGGAGTGAAGCAGCCCCATTTAGGCCTTATAAATTTTGAGAGCTGCTGGAATAAAAAGCCCTCCTTGAGAGAGATGGAATTTTGCTGTGCTATTTGCAAATCTTTCTCCTTGATCTGCCACATATTTACTTTGTTCAAGCCTAGAGCCCAAGGCCCGAAGAATTACCCCACAATATTTGAAGTTGTTAACTTGCTCTATGCAGTGGCCATTAATCAACCAAGATCAAGTATTTGGTCTGCACCCGAAGGCTACTATCTTGGTTTTTCTGATAGTTGACTGTTAAGGACTCATCTTCACAGTATGAAAAGAGTTTCTCAAGAGCCCTCCTCACCCCTACAGGGCTTCTGGAGAGTATCACTGTATCATCAGCATACAGTAACACTGGTACTATGTTATCAAATCTGGGAGGATGGAGATCAGGGGTACTAAGCCAGCTAGATAGATTATTTATATAGAGAATGAATAATGCCAGTGATAGTAGGCAACCTTATTTAATATATTTAGTAATAAAAATATTTATTATCTTCATTAATATTGCAGTAAATACCCTGGTATCTAGATAATAGAATCATAGAATAGTGAAGTTGGAAGGGGCCTAGAGTGATAAGGGGGAGAGATGATCTTTCACTGTGATCGATGGGTGTAGTTAGCTGGTCTTTTGTGTGCCGTGATCAACGGTGTTAGTGGCTGGGTAGAGTTCATTGACCTTTTGCAGGCTGTATTTTTCAGTGTTGGGAGCCAGACTTTGTTGAGTTTTAGACATTCTAAAAGTCTAATTATCCAGATAGCTTCAGCTTACACTCGACCGATCAATCACAGTGACAGATCATATCTCCCCCTTATGACAACAATACACCCACAACAACAACAATAACAAATACGCTGATCACCATAATCACCCAATCTCCTGAAAAGGACAAAAGCTGATCCCACAGCTATGAATATTCACCTATCCCACAAACTGCACCAGAGCACAGACAGAGTTCTAACTCCTGTCCTCTGAAGTTGCCAACAACAGAGACTGGAGAAACGTTAGGACGAAAAACCTTAAGAACATGGCCTAACAGCTCCAAAAACCTACAAGGACCATCAGACCCCGGCCATGAAAGCCTTTGAGAATATGCTGCTACCTTTGTCTTCTTCAGTACTGCCACTGCCCACTTCCATGACCTGCAGTAGCAAGGAGCTATGCTGGACGGCAATTTGTGGCAATGGTGGCTCTTTCATGGCCACTAGCACTCTAATACAACTCTCTTACCAGGGTTAATGGCTGGATAGAAGGTAAGCTGAAGCTAACTGGATAATACTTTGCATCGAAATCTGTAAAACATAATATTGTGGAAACATAAATTTGGACATAAATTTATTTCAGCTCTAGGCTGGTGGTTGCTTTCCTTGGAGCACAATAATAACGTCCACTGATATTTATAAAGTCATTCTTACTTTAGGAAAGCAAGCAAGCATACAGATCGGTTCCTTTGGAATTTTGTGAAAACGAACACACACACTATTCCAATTTCATTCATATCTACAATGGTGGTGACTTATGAGCGCCAGCTATCTTTAATTTTATTTTCCTCTCTCCTCCCCTCTTCTGAGTAGCTGCAGCTCCAATTACTTAGCAATCTTCAATAAAGAGGCTTCATTTTAGAATGCAACAGAAGTCAGGCAAAAGCCTATTATTTACCAAACAATTCGGCAATAAATATAGATAAGAGGAGACCTGGCTGATACTCATTTTTTATTACAACTCAGCTATAAAAGTGGATGCCATTCCAAAAAGCAGCATTTTTTTTCTTTCTTCAGCTCCCAAGTCTTCCAGAAAAGCAGGCAAAGCTGGAAGCTCCATTCTTGACACATAATCAAATGTGATTGAATTTGGAAAACAATATGTTGCCTGGAGGAGGTGAAAGTTCAGGTGGTTCATTCATGCATTAGAGGAATGGTTGTTTGGCTGATAGAGTTTAGCTGTATTAGGAAAAACAAGCTGACTGTTGTGGGTCATATGGACACGTTGCTCTTGCACACTTCAGAGAAACTTCAGAATGTCAAACATGGAGCTCATGCACCCCTTATCATCTGTAGTTGAAAAGATGAAACAACAACAACAAAAATCTGACTTTGATTCTGGCAAGGCAATGCCCATCAGAGGTAGTCATGTTGAAGTAGCCCTGTTCAGGCCTTTGCCAGAGCATAAGAAAAAATGGGAGGAGACCATCCCTTAGATATCTATAGTCAATTAGTACAACACTCTTGATCCTGGATTCAGGACCTGATATAGCTAGGCAGGGCTAGGGGAGAAGCTTGCCTACAATTCCAAAGAGCTAAAACCATTCAGTATTGAGCTAGGTGGACCAACTGTTTGACTCAGGAGAAGCCTGCAGCTTTCTATATCCTTGTTCTGGATTCATAAGGTAAGGTTCAGCGCATAGGGCGATATGGGATGAGGTCATGGTGAACAACCATGTTGTCCTACTTGCCCTTACCCTCATGAGTTCAGGAAAATCCCAGAACAGGGTTACTGTCTGCAGTAAATATAGATTTTATATGGAAATGTTTGTCCTTGATTGTAGTGTATGAAACAATTGGTCTGGAATCACAGGCATTATGAAAAGAGTGCTGGATCCTTGGTCTTTAAGTCATTTTAGTTAGTTTCAGATAATCTGAAGGCAAAAAAAAACTTCGGCCTGTGATACAAAAGACATTCTTCTCCTGTCTATCTCATTGTTGTCTGAGCAGCCACAGTCAAGTTGGGTTGTGAATCCAAAAGCTTCTTGGTCCTGCAGCTTTGTACGGGATGCTCTGCCTCCTTTTCTCCCTCCCCTTGGATTTTCCAGCAATCAGAATGTCCTCAGTTTCCTCCTACAAAATCTTGTGTCTAATCCCCTAGATAGCATATAGCAATTGATGCCATTCTCTGCAGAATTCCTTACCAGAACCTGGGTAAATATTACCTACCAGTATTCATGCAAACAATGAATGTCAAACAGATTTCCTTTGAGGAACAGTCGCTATGGGCCATTAAGAAAAGAACGCCAAACAATGATGGTTGTGATGACCCTAATTTTGCAGAAACAGACCTACCTGGTTAACAGTCATGGGTGGGTTTTTTCCCCCCTTACTCTTTCTGCATTGTGGGAAACAATTTGTTTTTACTACTAGATTACATCACATATCATTCTAAATTTATAATTTTGTTGTTCCTCTGGCTTGCCCTTTGAGCTTCAAACTAGAAATATTTATGCCCTTCTTGCCAATTTCCTTCATAAGAATGTGACAGTCCTGCACTGCCTATGCTTGAAATGTTATCTTCTGCAATGTTTTTATATATCTTAGACCATTTTCAAATGGTTGTATTTGTATATTTTTCTAGCTATGCCTAAATGATAGCCATTTGAAACTGACCTGGATAAGAGCTGAAACTGACAAACGTAAGAAATAGATAGAAAATACCTGCAAAGGATAATACTCTAGGCAAAAGCAACAGAGCAGTGCCACACTTAACCTTGGAAAGGAAATTTAGGAAAGCTACTAACTGGATGTTATTCCTTCCCCATTCAAAAATTGTTTTATTGGGTAAATTTGAGTAAAGTGGATGATTCCTGGTGAGGAAGGACAGAACAAAGAAGGAAATTAGTGGGGACTTTTCCTGCACAATGGCAATTGAGCTGTAATTGATAGCACTGATTCCACTGACCATCCCAGATGACAGTCATATATGTCTCCCATGTTTATGGTTTTTCCCTGTTCAGACCCATTCAATTAAGAACAAATACTGTTAAATATGTGGATACAAGTCGAAGTGCAGGGGCTACAGAAGGAGTAAATTACTTGCTATTTCTAAGGCAATCTAGGCTGTCCCATCATTTCGTTTCATTTAGTCATTTAGTCATGTCCGACTCTTCGTTTTCAAATGGTTGTATATTTTTCTAGCCTAAATGCCTAAATGACATAGCCATTTGAAACTGACCTGGATAAGAGCCATAGTGGATGGTATTTGCACACCCCTATTTACAGTTGCTGGTATCTTAATCCTGTTTCCTGCTTGCCTTGATACTTCGTCTGGTGAGCAGGCCTGAACATAAATGTGTTCTCCTGTGATCACACATACAAAAATGAGTGGCGACCCTCTGCTTCTCTTCCTTTGTCATATGGAACTATATTTCCCTCTGGCAACTCACCAAAGAAACTTGAGCTTTGAGCTTCTGGTAGGATGAATCTGCTGCTGTACTCTGCTCCTGATTCCCTACCCCTCATTTTCTTCCAGACCCATTTGCTGAAAGTATTGTGAACAAAGATAGAAAAATCTATCACAACAACAGGCTTCCGCATCTGTTCAGTGTGCTCAGTCTGGGAGGGAAAGACTTAACTGTGCGCATCTAGAATTGCTGGATAGCTCAGTGGTTGAGGTCTCTGGATGTGGCTATTTCTAAGACAATCTAGGCTGTTCCATAGTGGATGGTATTTACACACCCTTATTTACAGTTGCTGGTATCTTCGTCTTGTTTTCTGTTTGCCTGGATCTTCTGGTGAGCAGACCTGAACATAAATGTGTTCTCCTGTAATCACACATACAAAAATGAGTGGTGACCCTCTGCTTCTCTTCCTTTGTCATATGGAACTATATTTCCCTCTGGCAACTCACCAAAGAAACTTGAGCTTTGAGCTTCTGGTAGGATGAATCTGCTGCTGTACTCTGCTCCTGATTCCCTACCCCTCATTTTCTTCCAGACCCATTTGCTGAAAGTATTGTGAACAAAGATAGAAAAATCTATCACAACAACAGGCTTCCGCATCTGTTCAGTGTGCTCAGTCTGGGAGGGAAAGACTTAACTGTGCGCATCTAGAATTGCTGGATAGCTCAGTGGTTGAGGTCTCTGGATGTGAAGCCAGAGGTTGAGAGTTCAGTTCACCACCACTGTGCCTCCTTGGCACAGGCTGGGCTCAACGATCCCTTCCGCTTTCAATACCTTTGGATGCCGTGCAGCCCTGGCAGCAGCAGACACGCTGCAAATGGCTTGTCAGGAACTTTTTGGCTTTATGTATGGCTGCACGATGGGGCCACCACCAAAGTGCAGTTAAAGCTTCTCTATCAAAGGCTTTTAGAACATAAAGCGTGCTGCTTATTTACCACTCCATAGTGCTTCAAGCAGTCTCTGGGCGGTTTACAAGTTAATTATGCAGGCTCCACATTGCCCCCCCCCCCCCCCGCGCCGGGGACTCATTTTTACG